GCCCCTGTCTCGAGCCGCTGGTGCCGTACCAGTGTTTCTCGGAGAGCGGCTGGTGTGTGAGCGGCAGCTGCGGCAGTCGGCACACCTCGGCTCGTAGCGCCGCCACCAGCTCCGCCAGACTCCAGAAGCCGGTCGGCGCCGTCCGCAGCGGACACTCGTACTCCTCTGTGGCCGAACACGCACCTCAGTTACCACCGCTGTCGCCGAATGCAGCGGCGGGCCCCGAACACGGAACACATGGGACTGTGGTGTGGGACTATTTCTCTGCATACGACGGGCCCCCTAGATGACTGAAACGAGTATTCCCTCAACTCCTGAGAAGTTGGTTCGTCAGGTCTCATATGGAAATCACATGTAGGAGGCAAACAAAGCCAAAATACACTGACGAGTAGAAAACGACTTAGTGCGGCCAGCATACACATCAACATCAAATATTTCCATAGATGGCACCAAAATACCTCCAATCAGTAATCATACACCAGCATAAGCCACCTTTCCCCATTTCTCCCTCTGAAGGCCGACGCACGGTGACGCCAAGCCCCGCCTCTGTCCCCGCCGGCGCCCTCCACACCGAACGTCGCACCTTCAGTCACGCCGTCCTCGGCCGGCAGGAACTGCGGCAGCAGCAGCAGGTTGGCCGGCTTGCCCGTGACCTCCGGCTGCGCCTGGCTGACCACATGGCCGGTGCCGACGCCGACGCCGCCGCTCACGGACAGGCCGCACGAGCCGAACGCCGACCGGTAGAACTCCTGCCGGGCGCGCCGCCGTCAGCGCGCGACAGCGCCTGACCCGGCGCCGGTGTGCCGGCTGGTTACGCGGCGCGGCCCCGGACCCGCACGGTAGCAGCGTCCAGCCAGGCTCGGCCCGGGCGGCGGCGGGAGGAGGGAGGGTCTGACCCGCTCGGAGGGTGGCTCCTCGGCCCGGGCGGCGGCGGGAGGAGGGAGGGTCTGACCCGCTCGAAGGTGGCTCCTCGGCCCGGGCGGCGGCGGGAGGAGGGAGGGTCTGACCCGCTCGGAGGGTGGCTCCTCGGCCCGGGCGGCGGCGGGAGGAGGGAGGGTCTGACCCGCTCGGAGGGTGGCTCCTCGGCCCGGGCGGCGGCGGGAGGAGGGAGGGTCTGACCCGCTCGGAGGGTGGCTCCTCGGCCCGGGCGGCGGCGGGAGGAGGGAGGGTCTGACCCGCTCGGAGGGTGGCTCCTCGGCCCGGGCGGCGGCGGGAGGAGGGAGGGTCTGACCCGCTCGGAGGGTGGCTCCTCGGCCCGGGCGGCGGCGGGAGGAGGGAGGGTCTGACCCGCTCGGAGGGTGGCTCCTCGGCCCGGGCGGCGGCGGGAGGAGGGAGGGTCTGACCCGCTCGAAAGGTGGCTCCTCGGCCCGGGCGGCGGCGGGAGGAGGGAGGGTCTGACCCGCTCGAAAGGTGGCTCCTCGGCCCGGGCGGCGGCGGGAGGAGGGAGGGTCTGACCCGCTCGGAGGGTGGCTCCTCGGCCCGGGCGGCGGCGGGAGGAGGGAGGGTCTGACCCGCTCGAAAGGTGGCTCCTCGGCCCGGGCGGCGGCGGGAGGGAGGGTCTGACCCGCTCGGAGGGTGGCTCCTCGGCCCGGGCGGCGGCGGGAGGGAGGGTCTGACCCGCTCGGAGGGTGGCTGCTCGGCGGGGAGACGGCCGCCCACGCTGAGCCAGCCCGTCTCGTGTGGCCCCGTGCCGGACTGACGTCGCAACGTCGACCGCTAACCCGGAGCCGACGACCCGCGCGAGCCACACCGCGGTTCCAGTGGCGGCGCCGGTACCTGCGCGGTGATGTTTGAGGGTGTGATGCCGCTCCAACGGACGCCTTTGCAAGCAAGTCACAGAAAATCGTCAGTTTTTCGGGACAATTCTTGAACACACCTGACTGAGCACAGCGCCAAGGCGCGGAAAATCTACAACGGTCATTTGCATGTGATGAACACATAAGCGTCTGACCAACGCGTATCAGCGGTGGGTCCACATAACCAGTCAGCACTTGCGGAGGCCCCGGGCACTTGCAGATCCACCGTTTCCTGCTATTACACGGAAGACGACAGGTGACAGTGACAAATGGGCATGCCAACGGTGTCACGGGTGTGACCCCAGAGTCGGGCGCCGTTCGGGGGGCGACCACCTGCATCTGGCTGATGCTGTCTGGCTGGAAGTGTGCCAGCGTGCAGCGGTTGTGGACGAACACCAGCTGCGGGTAGTGTTCGGTGGGTGTCGCGTCCGACAGGGCCGTCGACGAGGCCGGCTTCAGCATCTCCGCAGTCTGCAGCAGTCTGAGGGGCAGGAATCCGTCGGTCGGCAGCGCTATATCAGCTACCGATCTACAGGTGTTATGGGTCATTAGGTAACTATTCCTCAGCGTCGAGATATTCAAGACATCAAAGGCTACCGACAAATAAGTCTGTCACGTCCGTGGAATGTCCACAGAAAGCGAGACCGTATGGTGCCCTCCAGACATGACAAACTTGTAGGTGGCATAGCTCGATACGGCTGAGCAAAACCAGCCTGCTCGGTACGCCTCAGTTAAAAAATGTCCGACTCATGTTGGAATGCAATATGTTTAGCCTAGGACCCCACCAAAAGAAGTCCCCACCGGAAAACGTGGAGCTCGGCCGGCCACAAAGTCCTGCAAAGCGTCACCTATTTTTCCCTCTAAGCATTTTTCAGTATTATGCATTTTTGGCAGTAGTCGACACTTGTTTTATCCATCGCGTGGTATTTTTCTCCATGCCCCGGCTGAGAAAGACTGCATTGTAAAGTCGCATCGCAGGTAGACGGCATCGTTCATCTGACAGGCACTGACAACGTGAACCTCATCATGGAAAACAACACACGATATCATACGAAGTATAAAATTTCCGGCTCTAAATTCAAACCACCACTTGTTTTATCGTTGTCCGATTTCATTCGCAATAAAAGAGGATTAGCTACAACCATCTGCACAGGCGATACTACTCCATCACCTAAAAATACGGTATATGGTGTCATATCCATCACAAGAAACAAGCAACAACGCGTCATTTAAACAACCTCAGTTTTAGAAAGGCTGAGCTCACGACTTGAGCTACTCCACGATGTTTCCTCGCAAATACCTACACAAAGTCCCGGTTATCCTGGAGCCTACGGTAGTATAAACGCACGAATTCAATGGTTACGATACTTTCCGATCTGGTAAGAGCTAACTGCCAAATGGCATCATCGCAGTGACGCAGTTATTCCTTACGTCAAAAGCGAAGTTTCCAACACAATCTATTTCAATAATCACTACAATAACCGCCGCGAAATCTAAGCTAATATGCCACTCTCTGGCCACGCATGGGCCTTCGCCTACCTGGGCCATGGACCGGGACAAGCTGGCTAGGATGCCATCTCAACCGACCCTTAATCCGGGGACGTTAGCTGACATACCGAGGGCGCTTCACGCCGGTCTACATAAGTGATGAATGTCACCCCTAACGTGGTCTCGGGGACAAGAAAACACCAGGGCGGGTGGAGACCCGACAGACACCGCCTCGTCCCGTTGTTTATCGACGTCCTAACTGCCGGGGTCACGGGGGTCGCGTTTTGTCCGGGCTCAACACACTACGTATAGTGCACCACAGCAGCGCCACCTGTTGAGTGCAGTCCCCTCCGTCCCAATGAAACATCGCTATTGCCAGGTTGTTAACCCACTTCTGACGTCGTTCATCTCTTTTGCTCAGTGACTGCTCTCGACAGCCCAAACAGCTGCTAACGAAGACTGGCTTGAGGCTGTTGGCCGCCCGTTATGGAGCACAGGAAGGGGAGGGGGAGGGCAGACGCGGAGGGGGGGGGGGGGCTGGCGCCCGGCGCTGCGTCCCCAGAGGCCCCGGCCCCCGGCACGCGGACGAAAGAGGGTCCACGTCATCCGGCATTTACGAGCGTCACATGAGCCCAGCTGGCGGGCCGCCCCGAACGGAGCCGGGATGGCCCATCTCGCCCGTCGCCGTCTGGAGGCGCTGCCTGCAGCGGAGGCCACAGGGTTCGCACGCGGCGGCGGTCGGCCAGGTCAGGTTGCCTGGTCGGTTTACTGACCGGTTCGGCACGCTCGCTGGGTCGCCGGGTCCGCCATCGAGTCGACGAGGTCGCCGTCTATGTGACGGATCTGACGTCCAGACCCCCAATCAGGTCAGTGACTGACCTGGCAATGTCATGGCCCGTCTCACTGACCTCACGAAGTCGCAGATGAGTCAGCTGACCAGATCAGGTCACCAGACGCGCAGCTGACCTGACCAAACCACCGCCGCGGGGGCAGACTGATCAGTCCATTCCCCCGTCCGCAACGGCGACCTGACGTCCCGTCTGTCACTCCACTGACCTGACGAGGTCGCCGTCCACCCACCAGTCCTGCACCACCAGTACCACGTGGCAGACGGTGTAGAGGAAGGCCAGCTGCTGCAGCGCCAGCAGCTCCATCTGCGTTTCCAGCGACCTGGCCGGCAGCGGCGTGCGCGTCGTGATGGGCGTGCCGTCCCGCCGATGGGAGGCACGACCACGCCACATCCGCGAGCGCGTCACGACGGCGTACGTCCCAGGACAAGCGCGGGGCTGGGGTGCTCGCGCTGCACGAGCCGTCATCAGGCATGACAGGCTGCCGCAGCTGCAAATGACTAAATGGGATGGCGGTCGTTTAAGTAGATAATGTCCATGAAATGGGGTCTCGCAAGTGCAGCTAGCAAATGCACAAAGAGCTTCCGGTTTTCACTTGGGATCCAAGGACCAATACGGGGCTGTTCTGGTAAGGCGCAAGATGCCGACGAGGGATGCACTGGGAACGTTAATGCCTAGTGTAAACAGGCCTGCAATAGTCACAATGGATGACCATGGCTCGCATCAGACACGGTGTGTCACGGCAGCAGTGATGTGACGACGGGTGACCGTGGCTCGCATCATGCACGGCGTGTCACGGCAGCAGTGATGTGACGACGGGTGACCGTGGCTCGTATCAGGCACGGCGTGCCACGGCAGCAGTGATGTGCCGACGGGTGACCGTGGCTCGCATCAGGCACGGCGTGTCACGGCAGCAGTGATGTGACGACGGGTGACCGTGGCTCGCATCAGGCACGGCGTGTCACGGCAGCAGTGATGTGACGACGGGTGACCGTGGCTCGTATCAGGCACGGCGTGTCACGGCAGCGGTGATGTGACGACGGGTGACCGTGGCTCGTATCAGGCACGGCGTGTCACGGCAGCAGTGATGTGACGACGGGTGATCGTGGCTCGCATCAGGCACGGCGTGTCACGGCAGCAGTGATGTGACGACGGGCGACCGTGGCTCGTATCAGGCACGGCGTGTCACGGCAGCAGTGATGTGACGACGGGTGACCGTGGCTCGTATCAGGCACGGCGTGTCACGGCAGCGGTGATGTGACGACGTCAAAAGAAATCAAACGTCCAACAAGCTCAAACATAAACGGTGACAAAGAAATATACAATACGGCCAGTACAACACAGCCTGCAGACATCTGAACCCTGATTGCATTCCCTGTCGGTATACCAAAGAAGCTCCGTGACCTACGGACGAGCAATCCTCCAATGGTTGGCGCGTGGGGACTCCCGCATGGGGGCCAGAGTTCGCATCCCGGTTATGCCATGGTCCTTGAGCGCTAACATGGTCAGTGCGGTCGCTGACGTTCTATTTACGGGGCGTGACAACGTGAGTCACGTTCCTTTTTATGACGCAACAGTTGTGTGACCTACTGGCATGGCATGCATCCCACAGGACAGCGTGCGGACTCCGGTAACAACTGCGGTCCGTCATCATGGCGCCGCACCCGCCACGGTTCGTCGCCATGGCGCCGCAGCCGTCTGCGGTCCGTCGCCATGGCGCCGCGCCCGCCACGGTTCGCCGCCATGGCGCCGCACCCGCCACGGTTCGTCACCATGGCGCCGCACCCGCCACGGTTCGTCGCCATGGCGCCGTAGCCGTTTGCGGTCCGTCGCCATGGCGCCGCGGCCGTTTGCGGTCCGTCAGCAGCGAGCTCTGCACAGCGCACGTACCCACTGTCTCCAGGCAGCTTGCGGTCGCCCTGCGCCAGCAGGTCGACGATCGACGGCGAGAGGATCGGCTGCGTGTCCAGCAGCACCACCCGCTGCGGCGTCACCAGCATCTCCACCCCGTTGGTGCGGTGCTCGCTGTTGAGCACCTGCTGCACCGTCTCCGGCGGGAACAGGTACTTCCTGTGGGACGTGGCGCGACAATGACGCGGGCGGTGGCCGGCGAACGGTGAAGCGGATGTGCGACGGTGGCGGGGGCTGATTGCGGCTAAAATCGGGGAGTTTTGGACCTCTTTGGGAGGAAATCACCACGAAGACTGAAAATGTCGGCGTGTTACACGCCGACATTGGGGGAGAAGGCGTTTCCGTTAGTTTTATTCCCCGAAGGCTTCAGGATAGAGCCACTGGCCTTTGTGACAAGTACAGAATGTGACGCCTGGGACGTTCACCACGGTAGTTTCGCGACATGTTGAGCGAAGCACTGCTCTGTTGATTTTGTTGTGGTCGGTAGCTTAAAAAGATACCCTGCCGCGGATCACACGTTGGAATTTTTCCTTTTTATTATTTTCACCTGAATAGATGCTATGTAAACTGAATCAGGCAGTCTGTATAGGATGGCGAGGACAGAGCAATGATAACCGATCTCCCGCGCCGGACCCCTATGCCGAGAAGGTTCAGGTCTCCAAATATGTTTCCATTGTGAGCCCTGGACCCGAGTCGACAGCTGAGCACGCCTAGAGCACGCCACAGCCACGACCCCCCTTCCCCCCCCCCCTCCTTTGGCCGGATTACAGTTGCCCACTCAGCCCTCTCCCCCCCTAACACGTTTCACCGCGCAAACTGAGCTTTCTCATCAAACAGTCTAGTCACTGATGCCGCGGAGTCCAATTGTAACGGTTTTAGCTCCATTACCTGATAATACTTATCGGTATTGCCGAGCATTCGAACCAAGACCGCGCATCCACATTCAAATCGGGTCAGAGCAACACAATTTGCGCAATATGGTGTGATGGCTTACTTGAGCGGGCAAAATGGAGCTTCTCCGCCCAGCATGGACATGACCGTCGATTTACCGACTCCCTGGCGCCCCACGACGCCGACGACTAGATACTCAGTTCCCTCCCCCAGCCACGAGATGGCAGTGTCCACCATCTGCAGGTTCTCGTTGAGAAGTGGACACGGCCGGGACATTGTCTGAGGGAGCAGTCCATGCTCTTTCAGCTGCTTTCTTGATGCCGGACCTAGGGGAGGAAAGATGTACATGTTTACTGTGCTGAAACTGCACACAAATCGATGATCAATAAGAATTTGCCAGTCCCACTTTGGAATTGACACCATCTTATAACTTTGTAACAATATTTCACATTGAAAGAGCCCATCCCACATAGACAAAATATGTGGTGGTTAACTCCCAAGTCCTTTCTATATGCGTTATCATAACAGTAATTTTATATATTTTGGGAAATGAAACTAAACATATTGTTCAGCTACTAGTATCCACTTAAATGCACACACAGCACTCAGTATATCTACTAGCTCCCTAGCTGCAGCTCTAGCAATATCTTTGAGAAATACAGCTCATACACAGCTGTGGACTGAGACCCCAGGATGCCACATCATGTGCAGATAGAGTACACCTTATGGAGCAGAAACTGGTTACATCACATCAAACACACCACTTTAGTATGTGTGTGTCATTGGGGCTTTATGACGCACTCAGCTGCTGAGGCTATATAGTGTTGCCTGCCTCTCACCCTGGCAGGAAGGGCGGGCACCGCTGGGAATCAAACCCAGTACTTCTGGTTTCCTGGACATGCAGTGGTTAACACACAAGCATTAACCACTACACTACCAGCACCCCCACTTGAGTAGAATCTGCTAGTCTGCACCATTTGGGAGGCAATGCAGGGAGCAGTAAAACCACACCATTTCTGCACTCAACCCATTTGCTATACTGAAGATTGAAAATGGTGTGGAGAAACCATGCACATGATCCCCAGCTTTTAGCACCTTTTCAGTCTTTTTTCCCTTTAAGTTGCAACAAACATGGTTCAGATGGTAGCCACCAGTCTGTTCAAATATTACCAGTTGTGCTGACATTTATCTCACTGTTGTCATGGGATAGGGTCAACATTGAACTGAGCAACTTGAATTTGTCTCCCCTCACATTTACTATAACTGGAAAGGCATCACAACAAAGAAACAACAACCACAAAAATATAACCTCAGACCTCTATCTCTCTTACGTGGCTCAGCAGCAGGCTCTATGGAAGGTAAAACCACTGTCTCGTCCTTGCGCATAACAGTGATGGGACGTTCCACAGAGGCAGGTCTTGCCTCATTGCCTGACTCCTTGGTCAGCAGCACTGGCTGTGGACAGTCCATGGTGCTTCCTGCAAAGGCCATGGTATTCTGGGAGATGGAAATATGGTAGCCTGTAGCATGAGCTACAATAACCACCCATAAATTAAAATCATGACACTGAGCCGCAATATTGTAATAAGATACTGGGAGCAAAGGAGCCCCTTGGCCCTTCGGATCCCATATGCCTATGTGGTCATGAAAGAACAGAGGGCCGACATCACCATTCACAAAAATACATGGCCATGCGACTGAACTTCTCATTACGGCAGCGCGCCGGCCAACGTCTCTCTGGAATTACGTGAATAAACCCTCCCGTAACTTCTTCATCTGATGGCACCGACATTGGTTTAGCATATCCCACCTCGGCAACAGCGAGAAGTGCGAACCCTCTACTCCGTTTGAGTGCGGCAGCAACCCGCACGCGACGCCGGACGCATCCGGAACGGGCGATGTACGCAAATGCACGGAATGCACTGTAGGCCGATGCCTCATGCAAACCGTGCGAGGTAATAGCCTGTTTCGTCGCTGCTGCGCCTTGTTAGAGACAAGATGGCAGCCTATAAGCACAGACCTGCGAAGGGACGGATAAAAAACTGCATCCGACTACGCGAGAGGTAGATGCACTCTGCTGTCCGCGGAAGGGACTCGTGCACTGCATTGTGTACTGCAGTTCACTGTGCTTTACTGTATTGCACTGTGCGCTACTGTCGCAACTGCCCAACAGCATCGTCCCATCGGCTACAAGCGTCGCCGCGTCTGATCTTCCCTCCCTGCTCCCGGCCGTCGAACACTCCCTGCCCGCCGCCGTCACCTCAGGCCAGGCTCGGGGTCCGCCGCCGGCTGGCTGCAAAATTTGGAGAACGAAACCGTGCCGACACCTGAGCCCAGTTCAGTAACTGACTGATGCCTTTCCTTTAGCTACGTTTCGGGTCTTCAGTTTACTGGCAGCAGCCGGTAATTATCGGTCTTCGGTTCACTTGTAGTTCAGTAGATTTCATGAACGGCTCGATGAAATGGATCACCAATCACAATACCAATCTATTGCATTGCACCCTCAGTGATCTTGGACGTAGCAAGTGAAGAAATCGGCGCGACGCGACGGACAACGCGTCCACTAGTCTCTTAGCCGTTCCCTAGAGAAAGAGCTTGGGTCCGCAATAGATGCGGAGGTCCGTACTCAATCATTACATAAAGGTTAACATGAACAAGTTCTTTGTATTTGGTGGGTATCACATGATGTGATGTGATTCACACATCGGACCAGAATCGCAGAACAGTGGTCCCTCGACAGCCAGGCCATCAGTGTCATTAACGTAACCCAGGCGACTACGGCGATCCGTACAGCACAGGCTACATGAACACGCTAGGGCTCATAGTAATAATGCCTGTGGTATACGTGATGTCAGCATCGCGCATATCAGTGCACGCTTCATCGGTGGGCAATACGTTCCTTTCGCACCTGATGCAGCTGCAAGCCAAGAGGAATACAAAGATAAGCGACGCCCACCCTTAATCTATACAAATGGCACGAACACCATCGTCCCCAGGCGGCTACCAATGCCCCGCATATGTCAAATGGTAAGCTCGCAATAATGATGTACATGAACTAAGCATCACCTTGCTGGCCGCTGCAGGGACGCACCTGACGCCGTACCCCGAAGCAGTGTGACATACACCAGGTTGTTCAGCGCTCCACGTAACTGGCACGGCCATCCGCGTCCGAATCCGCCCGGCTCGGCGTCGCTTCGAGTTCGACTTCGCGTCCACAGAAGGACGGATCCTGTCCCACGGTCGTGCGCTCACGCCAGCACGCCGCCAGTGTACTGAATCAATGCGGTGCGCCACCCCAGCCAATGGGGTGAATCGCTTACAAGAAGGTGCATACGTGAGTAAAAACAAGACGTACCAGTTGCACACAATATGGTCGATTCCATGCGAATAAGCCGCGTAAACGCGCATACCATCCTCCGGTTTTTTTAAAGCATTAAAGCATAAGCGAATGCTAGCAGCGTTAGCTGAGTGCCACCCTCTGGAATGCTTCGTCTGCCTGCAGCAGGGCGCCATGCCAGCCGCGGCCCGAGCCGTCACCTCCGACCCGTGACAGGCCCGGCGTCCGCATGCCGCCACTGCCGGCCCCAGTCCAGCCCGCTGAAGTAGGGATGCCGGCGGATCTGGACCGTCACAGCCGGCCCCCGTCCAGCCCGCTGAAGTAGGGGTCCCGGCGGATCTGGTCCGTCACAGCCGGCCCCAATCCAGCACGCCGAAGTAGGGATGCCGGCGGATCTGGTCCGTCACACCCGGCCCCAGTCCAGCCCGCTGAAGTAGGGGTGCTGGCGGATCTGGTCCGTCACAGCCGGCCTCAGTCCAGCCCGCTGAAGTAGGGGTGCCGGCGGATCTGGTCCGTCACAGCCGGCCTCAGTCCAGCCCGCTGAAGTAGGCGTGCCGGCGGATCTGGTCCGTCACAGCCGGCCTCAGTCCAGCCCGCTGAAGTAGGCGTGCCGAGGGATCTGGTCCGTCACAGCCGGCCCCGGTCCAGCCCGCTGAAGTAGGGGTGCCGAGGGATCTGGTCCGTCACAGCCGGCCCCAGTCCAGCCCGCTGAAGAAGGGGTGCCGGCGGATCTGACCGGCGTCCGGGCGCAGCTCCGGCCGCCGCTGCAGCAGCGCCGCCAGCAGGGAGCGGGCGGCCGGCGGCGCGGCGGCCGGCAGCCTCAGCGCCGTCAGCTCGTGCAGGCCGGCCGGGTGCAGCCGCTGCAGCGGCCGGCTCGTCACCAGCTCGAACAGCAGCGCGCCCAGGCTCCACCAGTCGGCGGCGGCCGAGGCGCGGCCGGCCGGCGCCGTCAGCTCCGGCGCCGCGTACAGCCGGCGCGCGGCGCGACGCGACAGCGATGTCCGGCCCGCCGGCAGGCGGCAGAAGTAGGTGAGGCACGCGTCCCCGGACGGTGTCAGCAGGATGTTCTCCGGGCCCAGGTCCCTGCCGGCCGGTCAGCGAGCGAGTGTCACGGCCACGGCCTCCCCGGAGAGCCAGGCTCATGCAGTCCGCCCGGTACTGGCCACAGACACTTCGCACTCACTCGACGAAACACGCGAGCACACGTTCTAAAGCCTGGCTCTCCAGTGATGCCGCTGCAAGCGTACTGTCACCCGTGTGTTTTCGTAACTGACGCGATATACCACGCGCGCACCGTCCTTAGATGTCAGGCAGCGTATGCTCGTGCTGTTGCGCACTCACCTGCAGACGATGCCCTGCCGGTGCAGGCGGTCCAGAGCAGTGACGATCTGCGCCGCCCAGAGGCGCACCCGCCGCTCGCGGCCGGCTGGCGGCGCCGCGTCGGCCATGTCCCTGCTCCTGGCACCGCCAGCCGGGCCGCCGCCGGAGCTCCGTGACGCCGCGCCGACGCCGTCCGCGTCGCAGACCGAGCCTGGTGGGCTGTGGCCGGCCGCGGCGGCGCCGTCGGCGGAGCTCTGCTCCCTGGCGGTGGCCGCGGTCTCGACGAGGTCGCACGGGGAGGCGCGCGACGACGCGCCGTCCGCGCGAACGGTCAGATCGCTGGCCGAGTTCTGAGACGCCACACCGGCCACGGCCGGGCCGCTTGAGGTGCTCCACGGGGTAACGCCGGCCATGTCGCTGACGTCCGGAGGCCGCGGCTGAGTGGCGTCGTCTGCGGCCGCCGCCAACACTCCCGAGGGGTGACGAGACGCGACATCGGCCGCCGTCGGTGCCGAGTCGCTGACGGCGCTACAAGAGGCACTGTTCACGGCTGGGCCGCCAGTGTGGCCCAGAGCACACGGACTCGAGGCAGGATCATCACCAAGGCTCCACGAGCCTCGAACATCCGCCGTCGCGGTCGGATTACAACAATTACCCGCAAACGAATCAACACCCGTATTGCTACCGCAGTCACCGAAGGCACCGTTCACTGCACCGTTCACCGTCCCACTGTCACCGTTCGTCGGGTGACCAGCGGCCCTGTCTCGTGCCGACCCACCGTCCGTGGCCGGCGCGCGGCCTCCGCTGGTGGTGAGCCGCCGGCCCCGCATCTGCAGCGTCCGCTCCACGGCCGAGAGCAGCTGCTGAGTGCGCCCGACTAGGGCGTCCGGCGAGCCGGCCAGCCCGGCCGCCGGCCACGGCTCCGGCTCCGGCTCTGGTTCTGGGCAGCTGAGATGGCGCGCCAGGCCGACAGAGCCGGAGCCGCCGCGACGCGCCGCCGCCTCGCGCTCCTCGAACAGCTGCAGGTAGCTGGCGGAGGCGCCGCCACTGTCGGCCAGGGACGCGCTGCTGACCGCGGAGCGGAGCCCGGCGTCGTCGGCGTCGCTCGGTCCGCGCTCGGCTGACGGCGGTGGCGCGAGCGGGGCGGGGACACTGGCCAGCGGCGGCGCCGGGTCGGCGCCGGACGGCACTGCCTGTTCCCCGGCGGCGGCGGCAACGGCAGACGAGGGAGAGGCGGTGTCAGACGCAGAGGAGGCAGAGGCAGCGTCCGGGCCAGGCGGCTGCTGGCGCTGCGGCTCCGGGTCGCCGGCGAGCGTGTCCCACAGCGGACTGCCCCTGTCGTACCGACACACGGACGTCATCATCCCGGGACACGGACGTCCTCATCCCAGGACACGGACGGCCGCATGAGCAGTGGTGGACGTCAAAACCGCAAGGCATTACCCACTCTATTGTGAACTGGTCTTGATCATACGCTCGCCCCAATGGGGAAAGTAGAGACACCGGGCTTGTGTGACATGACATAACCCCAATGACTCCTTCACAGCGTGCACTAGCGGCGGAAATGCGAATGTACGCAAGGCTGCATGGATAATTGTACTAACGGTACTCAGTCAGTTATCGACAGCAAGGTGAGTTATCAAATGCCCGCTTAGTTTCTTTTGACCACAGAATTGCGTGTATTAGGTCGTGTATTACGCACATTGCATTTTGGGACACCTAGTTAAGACTGAGCCTTTGGGCTACTGATACACCACACAATCTTTGTAAAAACAAACGAATGGAATACAAGAACACATGACTTAACATGACGTGTAATAATGCTCAACCCAACGAAAGAGCACTTTCACAATCTGTCAGCACCACTTAGGTGCTTTCAGCCAGCGACTTCCCCTGCAAACGACATCTGGCCTGGTAACCAAGCAAGCGACGCGCTAACCACTGCCGCCCTCAGTCCGCCCGCCTTGCCCCTCCACGGACGGCTGGCGTCGGGCGGCCGCGGCCTCAGTACGTACATGTAGTGGAGCACCAAGAAGTAGGCGTGTTCCGTCTCCACCAGCTGGTGCAGCGGCGCCATGTGAGGCACGCCCTCCGGCAGGACGGCGGCGGCAGCTCCCGGAGCCGACGCCGATGGGCCGACGCTCTTCTCCACCACCTGCGGGCAGCGTCCGCCGCCGTCGGCACATGGTCCACGCTGGGACGCAGTAGACACTGGGCCGGCAGACAATGCGGTACGGCAGACTATGAGCTGAGAGCTGGTGGTCCACGCTGGGACGCAGTAGACACCGGGCCGGCAGACAATGCGGTACGGTAGACTATGAGCTGAGAGCTGGTGGTCCACGCTGGGACGCAGTAGACACCGGGCCGGCAGACAATGCGGCAGGGCAGACTATGAGCTAAGAGCTGGGGACTTCAGAAATTAAGGCAATGCAGGTAATAGGAGCTAGGAGCTGCTCGGGGCTAATATAATATGAGAGCTAGGAACTACTAGGAACTAGGAACTACGAACTGTCACGAGCTAGGGGCTACTAGGAACTAGGAGCTTTTATAAACTGGGGGCACTCAGCCCTGGCTGACATTGGGGGCACCTGGGGGTGCTCTACTGGCTGGGGAATGGTGACAGTGATGGGTGGAGGGGTCCCAGATAAATCAGCCGATAACAACAGCACGAATGCGAGCTGGAAATACTGGGGGTGCCGCCACACGGAACAGACACATCTGTAACAGAAACACACGCTCGCGCCCGAGAGAGGTGAAGTAAAGCACCGTTAACATGCACATCCATCGTGCCTCGGGAAGACGCCATGCACGGCCTGAGGTAATTGCCATAAAAGCCATTGGCGCCGGCAATACTGTTTGGTCATGATTCCCGGCAACCCTTTATCATAATTTTCTGAAAACGCAGTAATCTTTTAGGAACTGGTATCTCATGCGAGTTACCGCCAGATGGCGCATTTTCGATTTCTTAATGACAGCGAGCAACATGAGATTCCAGGGCAGATGCTGCCGGTGCCGGTACTCCCCTTGACAGCGGTGCCCTCCGCTGGGTCACTGTGTGGCCGGTGACCTACCTTAACGACGAAGGGCCGGCCGGTGTCGGCGTCGGCGACCTTGAGCCGTCCGCCAGTCAGTCCGACGATCTTGTAGGCGGCGAGCCGGCGGCCACCTTCAACACAGAGGCGACTGAGCCGCCGGCTCCGCTAGAACACACACGGCCGGACGTGACCGCAGCGAGCCCCCAGGCGCCCACACAGGCCGGGCTCGGCCGGCCAGCGGCACACGGCAGGCGACGGTACACACACCCACAGTGAGGGACAGAACACACCCCCACGGCAGGCGACGGTGCACACACCCACACTGAGGGACATAACACACCCCACGGCAGGCGACGGTACACACGCCCACACTGAGGGACAGAACACACCCACACGGCAGGCGACGGTACACACACCCACACTGAGGGACAGAACACACCCACACGGCAGGCGACGGTACACACATCCACACTGAGGGACAGAACACACCCACACGGCAGGCGACGGTACACACACCCACACTGAGGGACGGCACACACCCACACGGCAGGCGACGGTACATACACCCACACTGAGGGACAGAACACACCCCACAGCAGGCGACGGTACACACACCCACACTGAGGGACGGCACACACCCCCACGGCAGGCGACGGTACACACACCCACACTGAGGGACAGAACACACCCACACGGCAGGCGACGGTACACACACCCACACTGAGGGACGGCACACACCCACACGGCAGGCGACGGTACATACACCCACACTGAGGGACAGAACACACCCACACGGCAGGCGACGGTACATACACCCACACTGAGGGACAGAACACACCCACACGGCAGGCGACGGTACACACATCCACACTGAGGGACAGGACACACCCACACTGAGGGACAGAACACACCCACACTGAGGGACGGAACACACCCCCACGGCAGGCGACGGTACATACACCCACGCTGAGGGACAGAACACACCCACACAGCAGGCGATGGTACACACATCCACACTGAGGGACAGGACACACCCACACTGAGGGACAGAACACACCCACACTGAGGGACAGAACACACCCAAACGGCAGGCGACGGTACACACACCCACAATGAGTGACAGAACACAACCACACTGAGGGACAGAACACACCCACACTGAGGGACGGAACACACCCACACGGCAGGCGACGGTACACACATCCACACTGAGGGACAGGACACACCCACACTGAGGGACAGAACACACCCACACTGAGGGACGGAACACACCCCCACGGCAGGCGACGGTACATACACCCACGCTGAGGGACAGAACACACCCACACGGCAGGCGACGGTACACACACCCACAATGAGTGACAGAACACAACCACACTGGGGGACAGAACACACCCACACGGCAGGCGACGGTACACCCACCCACGCAAGCGCGCATGCACGCACGCACGCACCGAGGAACCCAACACACCTGCACTGAGGGACAGAACACACCCACACTGAGGGATGCAACACATTCACACTGAGTGACAGAACACACCCAAACTGAGCAAAAGAACATGCCTAAACTGAGGGACGGACCACACCAACACTGAGCGACAGAAAACATCCACACTAGCGACAGAACACACCCACACCGAGCGACAGAGAACACCCACACTAGCGAGCGACGGGTGTTTTCTGAGCGACAGAAACACACCCACAATGATGGACAGAGCGCCCACACTGAGGGGCAGAACACATCCACACTGGAAGTTACCAAACACACCCCGGGAACAATTACCAGCTCACACAGAGTGTGGGGGGGGGGGCGCATCAAACGCCTACAATGAGAGAGCCATCACCCACACTGGGAGACAACAAAGGCATACTTTTCTGGAGCTCAAATCCCAGCTCACACAGAGTGACGGACAACGCCCATGTATAGGGACAACAAACAAATGTGCCGATGGGCAACGGCGTCCGGCGCGGAGGGACAATCGTCATAAATGCAGGTGGATAAAACAAATATTGGAGCGGGAGACAAACAGACCACACAAGAGACCACGAATCACCCAAAGAAAGACAAAACAACACAACGAGAGACAACGCAACACGCACAGTGAGTGAGCCAACGCTTTCCACATCGATTCAGGGGGACATCACAGTACCCAAAACACAGACTACCCGAACGGATGTACTAGGACGGTCCGTTCGCCAGACTGATACAGACGGTCAACATGCTACCCGATATAATGAGTTATATAACAGCGAAATTACACTGTCATAACTTATGATGCTGTCAGCAGAGACACTAATGACTTCCCAAAAATTTGGCTGTGTGGTCCTATGCATTGTCAACGCGTCTACGGGAACTTGCAGAGAGTGGTTCTATGCCTTGTCAATGCATCTATAAGGACTTGCAGAGAAAGAACCCTTAATGGAAAACAGGCAAAAGCAAACACGTAACATTTTAAGGAAAAAAATCAAAAATTCAAAAAATGTAAGTCACACACAGTGCATATAATAAGGCTGTCAGGACATGACTGACCTTGAAGACGCCATCAGGGCATGCATGTGAATACAGGCTGAGCAAGGGGCTTACAGCCGACTGGGTGACAACCAACGCAGCAGGCGAACTGACAAACTGACAGACTGACAAGACTGGTAGACCGACGAACAGACGGACAGACTGACAGACAGACTGACAGACTGACAAGACTGGTAGACCGACCGACAGACAGACAGATTGACCGACAGACTGACAAACTGACAAGACTGGCAGACAGGCAGACTGAAAGACACAAAGGCAAACTGACAAGCTGACAAGACTAGCAGGCAGGCGGACTGACAGACGTACTGACAGACAGACTGAAAGAGACTGACAGACCGACAGACTGACCGACTGACAGCATGACAGCCTCCAGTCTGACAGGCTGGCAGACCTGCCGACTGACGGACTGACGGAGGGCCGGCAGGCAGCCGGGCGGACCGCGTGCCGTTACCTGCGGGGTATCGGCCGTCTCCTGGCCGTCCAGCAGCTGACAGAGTTGCTCGGCCCGGCTGATGTACATGGCCGTCTTGCGCCGCACCGCCGCCCGCCGCTCCTGGCTGGGGTCGCCTGGCACAACAGGCAGCCGGTCACGCCGCCGGAGATGGCGGAGGCTCGCCACGGGCAGGCGCGTACCCACACGGAAGCCCCCGGGGACATGTATACCTACTCCCCACCCCCTCCTACCGCTCACCAAATGTATGGCAGGTATCATTGAGCACGTGACAGTTTGCTATCGAAATTCCCAGGACATGCACACAAAGCAAGATGGAGAATACGCGGTGTTGTTTAAGGACACGGGACATTGTGTGCGGATGTGACGCGCTAAATTCGATTTTCATGAAATTTCTTGAGCTGAGCTTCTCCCCCCGCCTCCCCCCCCCTTAGTAGCGGACCGCGGCGCGGTAACTGACCACCGGTCGAACGCCGCGGACGGGTCTGGAGCCTCGCGGGTGTCCGTCTCCACCAGCGTGTCACCGAGCCGTTCCCCGCACGCCGCCCATCCGCCCACCCTACCCGCCCCGATCCGCCGGAGGACGGCGTCCGTATGATCCCAGCTAATCCCACCGCAGCGTCCCGCGGCGGCAGCATCCCACTCCACCCCCGCCCCCTGGGCAGGAGGAGCGTCCGCCCGCCACGCACCCTGGACGCCGTTGATGAGTGTGCCGATGCCCTCTTGGTACTGATTGAAGGCCAGCTGCCAGAGGCACTGCGCCTCGGCCTGCTGCGCCCGGCAGATGGCGTTGGCCGCCTGCGGACGGGACGGCGCCGGTCAGCGATCGGGCCTCACTTCACGCGAGCTGGATACTGGTCGTTCCTGGGCGGCGTGGGCGCCGCACTGAATCTCTGCAGCTAACCAGAACACCGGGCCAAGCCAGCACAGGCGCCATGGCCGATACAAATATTTACGCAGTCTAGGCCATTCTACAATTACGCAAAAAGAAAAGAAAAAACGATGAGAAATCAATAAGGAAGCCTCCATAAGTATTAAGCTTAATCACCTTTCTAACTCAATTCGTTCCATACAATCATAGCTAACCAGTATCGCAAAAGGCCAATATTGAGACAGATCAGCGGCCCCTTCACGTGCAGTGAGTAAGCCACCAAGCCTGCATTTGCCGTCGCCACGATCTCCTGCCGCCCAGTCAGGCACTGACCACGACCAAGTACTGGGCGGTGTCCTCCTGCGGCTGCTCCGGACGGAGCCGGCCGGCGTCCCCAGCGCCCGCCTCGGCCGCGCCGTCTGGCCGCTCGCCAGCCGGGTCGGCCTCGACTCCCGCCTCGGCCGCGCCGTCCGGCCGCCCCCCGGCCGGGCCGGCCTCGACTCCCGCCTCGGCCGCGGTCTCTGGTCGCTCCGGCGGCCGGCCGGGCTGCAGCCGCGGCTCGGCAGCCTCTCCGGGCGACAGCCGCAGCGCGTCGAGGCGGGCCAGCATGGCGGTGGTGTCAGCGGCCGGAGCGGCTGGGGCAGCGGCACCGGCGTCGGCCGGCAGGTCCGGCAGCTCGCCGTCGCTGTCCAGGCTGAGCTCGGAGCCGGGCGGCGACGGCGCCTGCGGCGGCGCGGCAGGGTTGTCACCAGCCGACAGGGGACGGGGGGAGGGGAGGCTGCAGCGGGAGGCGCGCGGTCACTGAGACCCGCGACACAACGTCTGGCTCGGCGTGCCGTGTCGCGGCCGTCAGCAGGGAGCACGTGGTGACGGTTGCAACGGTGGGAGGGGGGGGGGGGGGGGCACGGGCCCCGTACGTGAAGCGACAGCCAGCTTTGCAGATGTTCCAGGATCGCACGCAGATCCTGGAAAATCCGCTCGCAGAAATCTCGGCCGGCAGCCACGGAGCGCAGACCAGACGGCGGCCTCACCCGGTCCAGGTCGCGCAGCAGGTCCGGCTGCGGCGGCTCGCTGAGTAGCTGCAGGCTGCTGGTGCCGTCGACGGCGCCGTCGGGAGCCAGCGGGTCCAGCGACGCCAGGCTGTCCGTCACTGCCGGAGGCGCCTGCGCCGCGGAGGGCGCGCCATCCGCCGCCGGCGACTCTGGCGGCGCCGGCGACGGGCGGCAGCTCAGCAGCGCCGGCCGGGTACGGTGGCGGCTCCCCCGGGTACGGCAGCGCGCCGGGACGGCGGCGTGATGACGTCACTGCCCGTCTGGGACGAGCCGAGCGAGGCGGCGGGCTGAGCGGCCGCGGGATGAGCGCCGCTGGCAGTCGGTCCGCCTCGTTCACCGCTCGGCAGTCTCCGTCCTGCCGACGCCGCACACGTCATCAGTCGCCCCGCAGACAGACGCATGGAGCCAACAGGTGTTTTATAGCGCTTCCAAGCTTGCTGCAGCTTATTATAAAGCTAGCTACTAGGGTAGAGGCACCTCTGTAAATTCCAACTCAGCTACATCGCTTGTTTCTTTTCAGAAAAGGAGTGTTCACATGCTTTAGATAGAACCAAGAATTACCATCAAACTCACCTCAAAGAACTTGGCAAAGCTGGCACTGGCAAACAGTGGCGGGTGTTGGGCCACAAACTCAAGCATGGCACGGATGGACGCCTGCCGCTCTTCCACCACCGGTGCCTCGAATCTGGCCATGGGGTAGCTCTGTTGTCATGTGTCAGGTGAGTAAAACAGGAAAGAAACACCTAGCTCTTGGAGACTGCAGAGCAATGTGAGCCTGCATGATAAACATCTGACATACACAATAAAGTTAATTTAGAATGATGGCTCAAGCTTTACAAACATGCTAACAACAAAAATATAAGACATAGTTTGGAGCCCTCTAAAAGGCACCCAGTTAACATGGATCATATGGAAAGTCTTATGAAGAGCAAAACTGCACAAAATGAAAATGTACAACTTTTACCTGTTAAAATAGCTTGTCTTGGGCAAACTTGGAAATGTTCCCTTCAAATAGAGTGCAGAATGCAGAGACTCCATTTCCTTGTGTAACTTCCTGAACTCATTGTACCTTTTCCATACAGTGACTTGAGTACTTGCTTCAGGAGATAAGCAATGGAAAAACCTGCAATTGTCAAGACATGAAAATGGTGTTGTAGCTGGTCTGAGATATTCCATATTCACCAACTTATTACTTAAAACAAACAATGATATGCTCCTGCATAAACACATAATCATGTTTGGGTGCATTCCACAGGAAGCAAAGATTATGGCATTTATAAGATAATGTCATGTCAAACACAAACTGATTTTGTTGATCAGATTCCTGATTCAAATGGCCTTTGTCAGTGTGAAAAACAGTTTTTTATGATCTCATCCAAAGCAAGCACTTGATCAGAACCATGTGATGGTGATTCACTTGACTTTTATGCTTCAAGTACTTCACATTGCATCTGATGACTTAAATGCACATGCAACAAGCCATTCTTGGTGCATCATTGGGCATTACAGCACACTCAGCTTGCAGGGGATGCACCCATAGCTATGAAGTGTTTTTTTAGAGCATGTCAGGCACAAACAGTCTTCAACACAGCAATGGAACACCATGATTGCCAAGAATGACTAAAATACAAAATTTACAAATCACAATGATAATGCATTTGTGCTCATCAAGCTGACAGGCTTTTACGCATCTCCCGCATTGCAGATGTGTGGTTGCTTGCAGGATATCAACAAAATGGTTGCATATATTCATCGCGATCTCGGCATATCGGATTCATCAGCGCAGGCGTAAAACTACAGTGGCCAATGCGACGCAGAGCCACAACGGACTAGCGAGATCTTTCCAGAGTATGCTCAATCCGTTCCATGACGTCATCGTTTGTAATGCTCGGCAGTGAGTGGGGGGGGGGGGGGGGGGCGGGGGGCAGCTACTACGCAAAACCTCTATAATCATGATGAAACGATCAGTTGCAGACACTTATGATCTCGGAATCAGATAATAATTGAAATGCAGGCAATAACAGTGACACATACATTGCAGAGTTACGTACCCAAAATGGACGCCAGACAACAAAATTGCGCGCTGGTGAAGTCTAACTGAGGGGGTGGGGGGGGGGGGGGGGAGCGAGTCGTCACTAATGTTGGCTTTCCCCGGGGTTAAGCAACAAGAGCAATCCCTACAAAATATTTCAGGGCGGGAAAATGCGGTAGAACTGGGTACACAGAGAGCATGGAAACGTGTTGCACTACAGACTGGCCAACAATTGTCAGTACCGAAAGTATAACAGACAGTATAAATAATGATATTGCACCGGACCAATTTTGATCGGTGGGTACGGCCCCGAGGACTTCAATGAATAGCAATATAGCACCCAAGTTTTGGAAGGCAGCAGGGCACCTGACCTGCTGGGTAACCGAGGGCAACAACACCGTGACGTCATCAAATCCCAGCGGACGAGCATAGTACAAAACCTCACCCTTGGCGCCCCTTCTCTTTCGTCTTCAAAAATAAAGTGAAACGCCAGTTGATGGCACAAATTACGCAGCGGCTATCGGGTCTTTTCGGAAAGATACTCACTTTGGATGTGATTTTGTAGATGGTATATCCCTTTTCATGCTTCTCAAAACATGGCACTTCAAATATTCGGACCCAGCCGTCTTTCTTCATTCCCGGTTTGATTCATGACCGCGACATGTGCCTGCCGCCTCCCGACGCAGCAACACGTATCCCGTCGCCGACGTTGCAACCAGCTGATTGGGAAAACACCACGGGACCGTGTGAAATGGAATGACGTTGACCGACGTCGCCGAGGACGCGCCTGCTCACCCATCCACTGAGCCAATTTACGAGAGTGCGAAGCCGTATGTTAATTGTGGGTGGAATCAGGGGGGGGGGGGGGGGTAGGGGGAGTGGGAGAGAGGGGCGCATCCAATCAACTTGTCACCTCACACGCCGCGTCCTTGAGTTACGTGCGAGAGGCACATGAGCAGATTACCGAAACTCATACCCCTTCCATTTCTGCCCACAGGTAAACCGGGGAAGCAACTGGTGCGCTAGCCAACTGGATTCGGTGGCTCGTCGTGCCCGTTCCTATCGTTCCCTGCTCTACACAAGGTGTGCAACCGAAGGTCTGTCGTATGACCGCGAACTTCCCACGTTCGTTCGGGATACTTCCCACCCTCAGGGCCTTTTTTCGTTCAGCAACGCCATGCACTGGTACGGTAATCCGGTAACGTGCGTACCCTTTAATTCGAACGAAACGCCGCGCCACCTTCGTGTCACAGGCTTTTGGCTACGCAGATGCACGACAGTGCTTGTCGTCCGCAACATTTTGACACTCGGCCACACAAAGGCAAAATGGCTCCAACATCAGAATATTTTAGGACCACACCTACATCTACATGCGCCTACACCTATTATACTTACACCTACAGACACGTACATGTAGCCATACCGACCACATCAGTCACCAGGACTTGCCTCTATTTCAGAATTCGCGAAATAGTTCCGGGTATCCTTCCCAAATCGCGACTTTTGCATATGTAAGGCGTCAGAGAACATCTATGCGTTGCCAGTAAATGTTTGCTTAGTTTGGCGAGCGCCGCTTTAAGGCGCTTGCGTCCCCCCCCCCCCCCCCTTTCTGCCCCAGGCGCCCCGCGCGAGGGAACACAGCGTCGAGGGCTAGGAGAGGGGGAATTACGAAGAAGACTCGGAGAGCTGCCGGCGCGAGGGCGCGCGCTCCAGCGGAACCGCTGTGTGGAGTGCCTGTGAAGTGTGAAATACAGGTGGTGATTTTGGACGTACTGAATGTACCAGCGAGCCGGAGGCGAGACGCCAGAACAGCAGACCTCACACATATATGGGCGACATCACACCATTTCAAACCTGAGCAAGGTTTCGTAGAAGCATTGGTTGCTTTCCTCTGATACCTAGTGGCAGCCCCGCAAACCTCTGGACGATTTCTAGCCTTGCAGCAAACTGAAAACTTAATGGCCTAAATCGCAAAGTTGAACACCTTGTTGTTTATTGGAGTTTGGGGGCGCGCCGACTGCGGTAGTCCATTTGGCGCCCATAACGTGTATTGTTTTTACCCATCTATTAAGCAGCATAAATGGTTCCAAAGTTGGTGTGTTTGAGAAATAAGAAGATCTGTTGAGCTCCGAGAAATTGTGAGTTGTCTCCTATCATATCACTTAGGGTAAGGGGCGAGTCATGCTGTCCAAAGTAACGTTGGCGTTCTTCCACGAGGCGCGGACAAGACACAAGGACATGACGAACGGTGAGGACAGCGCCCGCATCGATGGCAGATAGGTTATCGGCTCCCCTCCAACATATAGCG